CACAACGAGCCCTCCTCAATTTGAGATGTTGCTCTCACACTATTGTTGGTAAGACTCAATCATTGATTTCTGGTGACAAAGTTCACCCCAAACTTAATTGTACAAAATTGAGAGCCCAAAGACTTAATTACACTTTTTTAAGTTGCGATATTTAGACAATTGTTTTTAACCTTTTATGAGTTAATGATGAAGTGATTTCTTTAATATGAAGGTCTGTTACCAGATAGTTGGTACTACTTTAGGATTTTGAGTAAAACAATGATATTTAATAAGAATTAATTCCAACAATAGTCCTTCGACTATTGTGATTTTCTAAATTTGGTCCTCATCTTTTAATTTGAACGAAATAAACCTTTGACTATTAAAATTGTTCCATCATTGATCCTTCCGTTAACCAACAGTTAGATAGACGTTAGTGAAGAGCTAAAATTAAAGGTCGTTTCCTTTGCTGGGTTTCTTTTTCCTGATGTCGGCAGAGTATATGTATACAATTCACGAACAAGACTCGAGACTCACCTTCGCGGTTTATCCGCCCCCCCTCTCTCGCTCTCGCCCTCGCCCTCTTCCTCACCCTCACCCATCCAACCCCCCCCCCCCCCCTCCCTCCCACAACACCGACTAGCAGTTGAGAGCAAGAAAAATCCAACCTCAGTTTCCGGAGAAACAAACTTGGGGATTAGTATTACCCAATGTCCCAGTTGTAACACCCCCGATTTTCATGCCATTTTAAACTTAAATATGCAAGATAATCTAACCACAAACATAAGTAGAACACAGCGGAAGTCTATATATATAAAGCCAGAAAAAGGGAGTGCTATGCCACGCTTACACCCTTGTGAACGCACAGGCAAAAACCAACATCAACAATCTAACGTATTGTTCAACATAAGGGGCACACAGGCCCAAAACACAACTAAAAACTGTCTAGGAGACTAAAACTAGCCATCTCTAACACGCTCGCCGACTACTCAGGACCTTAAAAGCACATAAAATAAATGGGACGACGCCCGGTCAGCGAAAATACTGGTAACCCATCAATACGCGTTAAGTATCATACATCGGTAGTATATACAAAATCATTTTTGAAACGGAATACTGTATGTATATATATATATATATATATATATATATATATATATATATATATATATATATATATATATATATATATATATATATATATATATATATATATCAGTTCAAAGCCAAAGATAGTAGTCAACCACAAAGACTCTATATCACTCACAACAAGGACAAGGGGAACACATCCCAAACACATTAAGACATGACAACAACCGCACAAGTACAACTCAAGGTGTATTCTACCATCACTCAGTAGAATACCACCCGACATGCTCAACATGTAAGAATAGAGAAACACACATCGGCAACACATGCCTTCGTGACATCACCCATCACGAATAAAATAAACCATGTTCCATCCTTATGCCTGGTTCCAACCTTATGGCTACCCCCAACCTTATAGCTAGTTCCAACCATTACTTCCAGGACCCCTGTACATCCAAGTCCAACCTTATGCCTCCGAGAATCGTCGTTCCCCTACCAACAACCACCAACAATTTCCACCAACACATAGTACACGAGGGTACCGTTCAATACACACGGCCTGAAGCCACCCAAAACACATGAGCCTATAGCCTAGTTCACAACTCCATAATCACGTCATGGCCACCACGAGGACCACTGCCGTACCTTGGTGACTAATGTCCCATACCATTAATCGTGCAATCCAGGTACAGCCACACACACCACACCATCATAGGAATCAATCAATGGATCACAATAAAGATATGAAACCATACTCAACAAGGAGAGAATCACAATCCGACAACAACGATGATCAACACAAGTTATCACCCACAATAGGAATGAACAAACCACACACGCTAGCATTTCAACACCGAACTAGCATGCTTATCAAATGGGTAAACAAAACATAGTTCCGAAGAACATACAAGACTCATCATGGTTCAACGAATCACAATGTTGAACACTTAGCACGATTCAAGACACCAAAAACCTACATGGATTCCTACCATATAGTTCTAGACATACGAAACATCAAGAAGACACTCAAAAGCCCAACAAAAGAACATCGGGAAGTCAAAACATCAATTACCGAGTCAAAATAATCACGGGGAACAAATCCCCAACCACCAACATATATGTACCCGCGGGTGGGGCCATGGGTGAACCCCCACCCGTGGTTCTGCCCGCGGGAACCATCCCACATCACACCTATACCCCGCAGGTGGGGCGGGGGGTGGACCCCTACCCGCCATTCCGCCCGCGGGTACATGTCCTGTACCAAAATAATCCCTTCAGGGATTTTCAACTCCAAGTCCAAATTCAAGTCCAAAACACCCAAAATCTCACAAAATACAACCATATGACTTGAATCAAAGGAATAGCCAAGCAATGGCATACAAGAACCCTAATAACAAGCTCTAGATATGCATTTTCACAAGACAATGCATCAACACTCACATTTCATAGCAAAATCACAAGTAGAATCCAAGAAATCATCATATAGGTAAGTAAAATAGATTTTGTAAAGCATGGGTTACCTCTTGTAGCCTAAACCTTCACTTAAACACCTTTACAAGCTTCTAACAAGGTTCTCCTTCAACACCAACTTCAAGAACACACCAAAAGACCATAAAGATTTCATCTTTAGAAAAAGACACCTTATAAAGCACTAAAAACACTATAGGACCAAAGATCTTACCCTTGTAGATGCTCAAAAGTAGGAAAGGTGGAATCTTGGAGACCAACCTGGAAGATCTTGGAATGCCCAAGCTTAGCTTGAAGAAAAAGCTAGCTAAATTCTAGAGAGAAGGAGGAGCTTTTGTTTTGAGAGTGTTAGGGAAAGAATGAGAGATAGCTCTAGGTTAGCTTGGAATACAATCATGAGGTGAAATGTCTTCATTACCCTTACTAAGATAGAATAGTGTAAGGGGACAATGGAACTATTCACAAAGCTTAGAGTACAACTCATTGACTTGGGTTGACTAGTCAATTACTAGTCCTTGACTATTGAATTTTCAAGAATTTAAAGAATAAATTACCAATTAGATTAGGATTAATTACTTAGTTAATCCCTAAATAGAATTTGGATTTACGGGGTGTCACACCAGTTCCATGTACAATGATTCAATATATAAGGCTTCTAATGATTCAACAGGTGAAGAGCAGACTACAGGGAACTAAGTATACAGATAACCAGTATATGCAATGGAAAAGACATCCACACCATACTATGCACTCAGACTTGTTAATTCACATTTTCCAAAGGTGGACAATAGTCCATGATATAATTTGCGAAATCTGAGAATGTCACCATAATTAGCGACTAGTGATCCGTTTGGAAACCAAAAAAAAAAAAAAAAAAAAAAAAAAAAAAAAAAAAGAGGCTTTCGGAAGTCAATTTCAGAATTTTCCTATGTTTAGATATTCAAAGAAAATAATAATAATAATAATAATAATAATAATAATAATAATAATATAAACACAAAATACCTATTATTATTATTATTATTATTATTATTATTATTATAAAAATGTTGAAAAAATAATTGGTAATAAATGAAGTTAAGAATAATAATAAGTTAAAAGAATATGATGTTACTTTTTCTGTTCCATTTTATTTGTCATACTTACTATTTATGAGTCAAATTAACTTTTTCTTCTTTGTTTATTTCAATTAGCATTTTCTTATAATTTTTAAATTTGATTTTTTGTGTTTAATAGTACTTTTAATGTAGTTTATAAATATCTCTACCAAAAAAAATGTAGTTTATAAATATATAAATTTTTCATACTAATTCTAAACTTAATATTATAAAAAATTAAAGAGTTAATACCCAAAATGGTCCCTCGACTATGCCATAATTATCAATTTGGTCCTCAACTACCATTCTTACCCAATTAAGTCCTCAACTATGTAACTTTTACTCAATTAAGTCCTCAACTATACAATTCTTACCCAATTTAGTCCTCAACTATACAATTCTTACCCAATTTAGTCCTCTGTATTAATTTGACTGTTTGTTGACTGTCAAAAGTCGGGATAAAATTATAATTTTACAAGATTTCTCCTTCCTCTCCATTTAGCAGTGCCAAACCATGCAGCAATACACTCCGATCAGATTTCGATCGTCAAAAAATCGTTGGAAATCAAATTCATGGGTTATCCGATGCATAACCACTATTTCGATACTGACAGGTTTAGAACCCAACCGGAGCTTATTGCTACATGGTTTGGCGCTGCTAAATGAGGAGGAAGGAGAAAACTTGTAAAATTACAACTTTATTTCCACTTTTGACAGTCAAATTGACAAAGTACTAAATTGGGTAAAAATTGTATAGTTGAGGACTTAATTGGGTAAGAATGATAGTCGAGGACCAAATTGGTAATTACGACATAGTCGAGGGACTATTTTGGGTAATAACTCAAAATTAAATTGTAAATAACTTCAGTGAAACCTCATAATACTCAAACCCGACAAATATAATAAGACAGAGGAAATATCAACATTTGTATATAAAAGAAAAAAAAATAAAGATCGTAATTTTGAAAATATTTTACCATTGTACAAAAAATAAATTAAAATATATAAACTATCAATGCACATGATTACTGTAACACATTTTATATATTTCCTAGAACCTTAACAATATTGATTCTTATATAATTTTTATTTGTATATTTATATTAGTAGATCTGTCATGTGATTAAAAAAATACCAATAAATATAGAAAAAAATTATAAAACCTTTTACAAACAATATTGTTTAATACAATACTTGATACAAATATCAAATTGAGGTAGAATTGTTAATTGTATAGGAAAAGGTCAAATGAGAAATGAAAAGGGAAATATATACGAAGGGCAAAGTAGTACTTTGAGAAGGTTGAATGACAGTCGCTGTCGTTGTCGTAATCGTCGGAATGGGTCAAATGTCAACGCCCATCGCTGATCAGTGGTTGTGACGGGACCTTCCGAAATCCGCAAGTTTTCTCGATCTGTTCTTGCAGAACGACGTCGCATTATGGAAGCGGGACTTCGCGGGAGATCTAATCTCGCCGGGATACGCCATCTCCGGCGGCTGCATCCCCTTCTGACTCCACCGTTGGTTAGGGCTGGCCCACACCAATGGACTCAAACAAAACGCGTTCCGGCTGAGACCAGCTTTGCCGCCGCCGCCGCCTCTCTGATACGCCGGAGTCCTTCTCGGTGTCTGTTTCCACGCTGGCGACGACTGCCCGCTCGAATCCTCTTCGTTCTCCTCATCGGAGTACCTAGCCGGCGACATTCCTCTGTCGCAATTCCGGAGAGTTCTCTGCCTCACTCCGACCGTAGCTTCGTCTAACGAAAGCGACCGCGTTTTCCTCCCCCGACGACCTGCGACAATTGTGGAGAACCACGACGGAGACGACGACGGCATAGTGTTACACCGATCATCCGAATTCGACACCCTGCGCTCCGAATCCGAATCCAGATCACCCGATTTAGACCTAAACATATGATAAAACAACGAAAACCTAGAATTCTTCTTCTTATCCTTCTTATTGGCATACTCGCTCCCGGAAATTAGTTCTCCAGTTGGGCCCACTTGCGGAGTAGCATGGAATCTCTGATCCGCCAAGCCATGCCGGCTGAGGCACCAGGTGGCGGCGGTATCAGATTCCCGGCGAGAGGCATACGGCGAAACGGATTGAGGAAAAACAATACGCGCGGCGGCGGGATCGGCGTTGGAACTCCGGCGTTGCTCTTGCGCTTGCTGAAGATGGGCTTGGGCCTCGATGAGAACGAAAAGCTTTTCACGAAGACAAGTAGCGCAAACGCCGACGACGCTACTCAAATCGGAAAGATGTTTCTTACACCTCATTTAGATTCTATTTTTGTATATAAAAGAGAGTGTTGGGAAGAGGAAGATTCCGGCGAGCAATAGCCGCATTTCTGAAGCGAAGTGGCTTGGTGGATGACAGAACCAAAAGTGCAGTAGAGAAGAAACAGACATCGGAAAGTGGTTGTGCCTTTAAAAAAGGTTGGAAGGTCGGGGGGGACCGGGGACTCCAATTTGTAGATTATGATTATTTGTAAACATATATTATTATAATTTTATGGATTATTCTCCACTGTTTTACTCAACTTATATTATTTAATAATTAATGGCTTTCTAACGTAATATTACTATTTAGTATGTAAAAAGGTTATTTAGTTATTACTTTGACTTTGTCATATTAGTAATGATGGTCTATTAACTTTCTTGATTTGAACTGATAAGAGATATGTAACAGATTAGAAGTTCAGACCGACTTACAGACAATCAAAAAGGAAGGGAAACAGATCATCAGAGTGAAAAGAGAGTTGAGAGGAAGGTGAGAAGAGAAATATGGAATTCTTGTATTGAAAAGTTTAATAAAAAACATTACATTGCTTGGGATATTTAAAAAAAAAAAAAGCCTAAAACAGAAATGTAACAATTCAACTATTTTTGTGCTTCAATGTTCCACACAGGATAACAGCTCATTGTTGCCTATCGATTCCCAAGCCTTGGACAGTTGGTAAGGCCTCAATTGCTTCAATTGATCCTTGTCCCCAAGGATCAAAGCTTGGGAACTGGCTCCTTATGTGATAATAATCCTCCCCAAGTTGATGCTTCAATTTGTAGGTTAGCCCATTGGACCAGGATTTGAGAAACTACTTGATTATTCCTCTTAATCTGTCTCTTATCTAGCATAGCTATAATACTCCGTGTTACGTCTTTAAATTTGGATTAATTATTTAATTAACCCCGTTAAAGGATTATCTAAAAAGAATTTAATTCAGTTAGGATTCCCTAAATTAATTAATATGGTCCACGAAGGATCGTGGACCCTTACCCTTAATGAAACTCCAAGCCTGTTAGAATAAGGAAAGAGGACTCATTACTAATTAGACTCTAAATAGGGATTCCTAAACCTATATGAAATGGGATTAGGGAGCCTTTATAACCCTTCCCTCTCCACCACTCGAATTCCCATCTCAGAATTCAGACGAAGAATCCCCGCCACCAAGCCTAGAAAATATTGTTAGGAAAAGGACCTTGAGGAAAGATCCTAGAAGTCTTAAGGAGCTTAATTAAAGCTACCAGGCAACCCATGTCTTACAAAACCTATTTTCCTTGCTATCTTTTATTGATTGGCTCCGTTGGATGATTGAATGTGTGATTTGGTATGTTTGCCTTGTTAGAGTTAGTCTTTAGGATTTATGGTATCGATTCTTGTTATTCTTGATATTCTTGATGAACTAGTATGGTTAATTGCATGTTCTTGAGTTTATGAGTATTTAGAGCTTGGGTTAGGATTTATATGATGAATCTTGTTATTTGTAACGTTCTTGGGTGGGTTTATGCATGTTCGAGCGTTATTCTAGGTTTAGGACTAGTCTTTAGGGCTTTGTATATTGGTTTATTGATGTTCTTGAGGTTCTTGATGCTCTTGAACCATTATGTGTTTATCTTTGAGTCTTGGCATGTTTAGAGTTTGCGTTTAGGCTTCAATTTTGTTATTTCTTGGCTTGTTCTATGTGTTCAAGTCCCTATTGTTGTTGATATGTGTTTGGGCGTGTTTGGGACTTGACTTTGGGGAATTGGATGAATTCCCGGGTTGGGAAAATTGGCCTAGGAACACGTTCCAGCGGGTAGTCGGTGGGGGGGACGAACCCCCACTCGACCACCTGCCGGATAGGGGTGATTGTTCCAGCGGGAGGACGGGCGGGTGACGGCCACCCGCCGGTCCACACGCTGGAACCATGGACCGCCACCGGCGGGCGGACGGCTGGGTGGACGGCCACCCGTCGGTCCACCCGCTGCAACGGCGTGGTTCCGCCGGCGGGAGGTTGTCCTCCCGCCGTACCCCCCGCGGGTATGGGCCAATGCGGGGTCGTTCGATTTCCGTGAGTCGAACCTCGTGCCCCGTGGTGTCTTCATTGAGTTTTCGGGTCAAGTATGATGTCTTATGTGCCGCAATGTGAATTGTGAGTCGTGTCTTTGCATGTGGTTCATACTCGTATCATCTGGTGCCAGAGTATGGTCTATAGTGGTCTTTATGTGTCTTATGGCCGCTTGGAGGACGCTTGTTGTTGAGAGTCAATGTGTACGATGTGCCCTTCCCCGATTATCCCCTTGTGGAGTCATTGTTGAATCTTGCTTATGTGTTGTTGTCCATGATGAAAATAAAAGATATGAGATTGGTGGTAAAAACAGTGATTGGTGGTTGATGCACTGCGCGTGCTTGTGTGTGATCGTACTGCGGTACCGGTGTGTGATTTAAAGGCATCGCGGATGCTATGAGATCGGCGGTTATGTAGGAGGTCTTGTAGGCGGGGGGCATGCGTTGCCCCGGAGGGATAAGGATGTGCTGTGTAGGGTGGCATGGAGGTACAGGCCAGGTTGGAACTGTTATAAGGTTGGAGAGGCGTGAAGGTTGGAACTTGGTATAAGGTTGGAACATGGACATGTTTGTGTTACTTATTGTTGGCGAGTCTTATTGTTGTCTTGCCTTGTGGTCTTAGCTGCATGTTGTGTCTTTATGTGCCTTGTCGTGTCGAGTCTATTGGTATGCCTTGAGTCTGATTCCTGGTTTTGAAGCTAGAGTCGTTTAGGACTATATTATGTATTTCCAAGTCTCAAAATGATTTCTTATATCTATATGTATTGTACTCAACGCGTGGGAGTGGGTTGCTTAGCATTATTCGCTAACGGTTGTAATACCGCATGTTTTTCAGATACTGATTAGTGATCAAGAGCGCGCTAGACGGAGCTGGGTTCTTGGTGTAGTTAGTAGTAGCTTAGCTAGTCGGCCTGTGTGCCATGCTTGTATTCAGATAATGATTATGGATTATACCTAGGCTCCATAGCTTAGATGTGGCATAACACCCCAACACTGATGTTTAGCTTCCGCTCTGATTGGGTATTAATGATAGATTTACCTTTGTTTCATATGCTTTAATGATTTTAAATTATGCTGAAAATTGGGGGTGTTACAACAGCTACGGGTGCAACTAGCACTTCGCCTTCTATACCAGTAAGAGAGAGTGCTTGTTGAGCTTGAATTTCGGGGTCGATTCGCCTTTTAAGTTGAGAGACATGAAAAACATGATGGATCATAGTTCCAACTGGAAGATGCAATTTATAAGCTACAGTTCTTATCATCTCAATCACTTGATAGGGTCCATAGTATTTTGTCGTGAGCTTGATATTACTTCTGACTGCCATGGTAACCTGTCTATAGGGTTGAATTTTCATATATACCCATTCTCCCACAGCAAACTCTCTCTCAGTTGTCCTCTTATCTGCTTGTTGTTTCATTCGGTTCTGTGCCTGAATAAGATTATCATTCAAGGATGCAAGAATTGTTGCTCGTTCTGCCACATCCAATCCCCTGTTATTCCAAAGGTTGCCCCCCCCCCCCCCCTCCCCCCCCCCAACAGCCAACACAGTTGGCTTGTATCCATATAGAACTTGGAATGGTGAATTTTGCAAAGAACTGTGATAACTGGTGTTATACTAGAATTCAGCCAAGTGTAGCCATTTTGCCCACTCTTTAGGCCTATGAAAAACCATTCACCTGAAGTAGGCCTCCAAACATTTATTTACCCTCTCGGTCTGTGCATTAGTTTGTGGATGGTAAGCTGTGGACAAACTCAACTTCACCTTAAGCTGGTTGAATAATCTCTGCCAAAACTTACTAATAAAGACTTTATCCCTGTCCGATACAATGTTGTAAGGATGTCCATGAAGTTTGTAGATGTGTTCCATAAACATGTCAGCCACTGTCTCTACTGTGTAGGGGTGTGTTAAAGCCATAAAATGAGCATACTTAGTGAGTCTATCAACCACTACAATGATCACATCCTTGATTTGAGATTTTGGAAGGCCTCCTATGAAATCCATAGAAATAGAGCTCCATGCCTGGTCTGGAATGGGCAATGGTTGCAGTAGACCTGGGCTCAGAACATTCTCCTCCTTGCATCTCTGACAAGTATCACAATCCTTCACAAAGGTTATCACATCTTTCTTCATTCCTTCCCAATTAAACATCTACTTAATTCTTTGGTATGTAGCTTGCTGCTCAGAATGTCCACCCAAGGGAGAATCATGCATCTCTTGTATTAATGTATTCCTCAAATTGTCGTGAGAGCCAATATATACTCTATTTTTAAATTTCAACAATCCTTTGAAGATGGTAATGTCTTGCACCCCTCTAGGATCAACCACTGCAGCTGTCAAATTTTGTTGTGCCCATTCATCATTTTCATAACTAGTTGTTTTTCTTCTACCCATCTAGGAATGATTTCAGTGAAAACATTAAGGGCAAAATTATCTTCAGTCATTACCCTAGATAAAACATCAACCACGCCATTATCCTTGCCTTTCTTATACTGGATATAAAAGTCTAGTCCAGCAATTTAATAAGCCCCTTCTGTTGCAGTGTAGTGGTTATCTTATGATCAAGTGAGAACTTTAAGCTTTGGTGGTCTGTCTTGATGAGGAAATTTCTTCCAAGCAAATAAGACCTCCATTTTTCTACAGCATTAATTATGGAGAGGTATTCCTTCTCGTAGGTTGACATTCCTAAATGCCTTTCCCCAAATGCCTTGATGAAGTATGTCATTGCCCTCCTTTCTTGCATAAAAACTGCTCCCATTCCATGATGGCTAGCATCGGCTTCTATCACAAATTGCTTCTGGAAGTTAGGTAAGGCTAACACATGGGTTGTGCAAAGAGCTCTTTTTAGGGCTGTAAAAGCCTCCTCACTTTCTGGACTCCATTTAAAGGAATTCTTTTTTACTATATTAGTTAGTGGCCTACTAATGATCCCATACCCTTTAATGAACCTTCTA